TCCTGCTGCTAACATGATTTCTGCTTTTTTAACCAATGATGGTCTAATGTAAAATACATAAAGACTCTGTGGTTTGGATGCCTCTAAGGCCAGAATTGATATTGTACCCAGAGTGCCTTTACTTAGAGAACACCACTCTCGGTTCCAGGTCTAGTTTCAGATTAAAAGCTTTTTATGATTCTTTCAGCTAGCTAATTGTGTCTGTATACCTAATGATATGAATTCAGTGATGTCATGTTACTCTTACAAAATTCTGTTTATGTGTTGATCTTTTCAGTTTATGTTCAGGAGATAATTCTTAATGCACATTAGATTAATATAAATTAAAAAGGATTTATGTACTAACTTGAAATATACAATCAGCTAAAACAACCACTCAAATTTATATCTTCAGGTAGTTGATCAATTAATCGCTATTTATGAGATACTTAACGATCTTTGTTTTCCTTAGATTATAGAGAAGGAGTCTGCAGAAGTGGAAGCAAAAAGGAAAACTGTGAAAATAGACGAAGAGATTGCAACAGAGAAAGCAGCAGAAGCCCAGGAATTGAAAAATGAATGTGAGAGTGACCTGGCAGAAGCAATTCCAGCCCTTGAAGCAGCACTTGCTGCACTTGACACTCTGAAGGCAAGCTAAAAAAAACTCTCTAAAGAGTTATTTAATGTTTCTGCACAATTGGAATTATTTGCCCAAGAATACATTAAGAAGGAAACAAAAAGTTTTAAAATTTTTGTTGTTTGTTTTTGACACCAAGATACACAGTTGCAGTTCAGTAGATTTTCTCCTTGCATTATTTCTCTGAATGCCAGAACACTTTTTTTAGAATCTTATTTTGCTTTTGGGACACAAAGAAAGGAATGCCCTGTTTGAACACTACTTTTTATACATTTTTGTCATCCGTTTAAACCACATGGGTCTTTATTATAGAAGGAAGCTGTTTTCCTCATACAAGGTGAACAAACATCCTCAGCTCTTACTGTCTCAGTGGGAATTAAAATCTCTCAGCACTTTAAAGGATTATACCTCACTTTAATATTTTTAATGTAATATAATACTTTAATCTGTGCATTTTATTTTTAAAATGTCGCTTTCATTTTAGCCTTCTGACATAACAATTGTGAAATCAATGAAAAATCCTCCATCTGGTGTCAAACTAGTGATGGCTGCTGTCTGTGTCATGAAAGATATAAAACCTGAAAAAATTGCAGATCCTACAGGGACCGGAGGCAAGGTAAAATGGTAGATAGCAAGTTTCAAATAAAAATTCATAATATGTTTAATTCTTCTCAATATATATCCCTTTTTCTCAAATGAAAAAATATAAATACATATTCTTAAGACCCCATAAAATTGACAGATGTTTACAAAGCCATATATAATAAAACCGTGTATGCAGGTTGTCTACCACCATAAGGAGAAAACAAATCTTCTAACCTGTATACTGTAGTATTATGGAACCGCTTGTGAGAGAACTCAGGTAATTTACTTGCCATTCTGTAAGGATGCATCTCCAAATGACCACCTCTCCCCCAGTATGATTTTAGGTTGGATTTGGGGAAATATTTGCCCTGACAGAGGCTTCTCTGTCCCTGACTGCCTCCTTAGAGAGAAGTCATCTTCATGAAACAAAAGCAGTTTAGAGTTTTTTCCTCTTTTTCTTGACATTGTCATCTAGATAAGGAACCTCTTTCTGATATTAGGACATTAGGGTAGATAAAGCCATAAATTAGAAATATATCTGAGGAAATAGTGGCAGATTCTCTGGATTGGTAGTACCAATTTACTTGAATCTAAGATGAGGTGTTTTTCTCCAGTCAGCATGGGAGAAAAATCCCTTGTCTTAGATTCACCTACAAAGTGACCCAAAACAACCTCCTGTTTCTCCCCGACTCCACTTTCCCTCTGCAGCTTCTGCTCCCCCTCCTCCCCACTTACTGTCAGATGTAGCTTGGCTCTGGCTCAGGCTGGATTCCTTCCCAGGCACAGAGCACATGGACACTCTGTCCCCCTGCCCAGCTAGTCAGCAGCTTTGACACTGCTGCATGGCCTGGCAGGGTCTGAGCGTTCATGTGCTGTGTTTCAGGAGGGAACAGAACCCAAGCAGCATCTGACAGTAAGGGGTGGAGGGGAATGGGAAGAGGCAGAGATGGCAAAGAGCAGGTGGGGAGGGGCAAAGACTGTGGAGAGTTGGAGGGAGGGACAGAGGCCATGGGGAGGGGGTACCAGTGGGAGAGGGAGGCAGGTAGGCTGCAGGAGGAAGGAGTCGGGTATGTTGAGGCCAAGGGGAGTCAACTGATTCCCCCACCACCACCTGACCCCCACCCCAGTCACAATTTTCCTGCTGTAGCAGTAGGAGGGGGGTGAATGTATGTTGGGTTTAAGACAACCCTCTGATAATTAGATTCTATATCTGAAAAATTATAACAAATTTATAATTTTTTCCTGATATAGAATCTAATTATGGGGGGTCATCTTAAATTCAGGGTTGACTTTGATTTGAGTAAATACAGTATACTAAGTCTGCAAAATATCACCCTTCTGGACTAAATCCTGAAATGTGCTATGTTCCTGATTCTTAACAAATTTCTGTAATGACTATACATGCTTGTCTTAAGTAGAGACTATGAATTCTTTTTAGTTTTTAAAATTTCATGTTTTAGTTTCCAATTCCCTTTTCAGGTCTTTGATTACTGGGGGCCTAGCAAGAAACTTCTGGGTGACATGAATTTCTTGAAGGATCTGAAAGAATATGACAAAGATAATATTCCAGTAAGTGTTTATTCAGTGCTTTTTTAAATGATTACTTTGCTTCCAAAAAAGAAACATATAGGCTAATATACCAGGCAGCAAATTCACTCCTAGCTTCAGTGGAAATAATCTGAATGAGAAAGAAGTTGAGTCGAAAGCTGGAAATCTCTTTGACCTGGGAGCTTTTATAAGAACGTGCAACTCTTTAGTCCCCGATTTGATTCGGTGGAGATTTGTCCCGATTCGGTGGCCAAATCTCTGAATCCAAATCAAATCAGGAGACCCTCTAATTTCTCTGAATTGAATCGAAACCCTCCAATATTTGGAAAGATTTGGCAACTTGGATATAGACACAGCTTTTAAATGTTTTTTCTATATACCTCAAGGTACCAGGCAGCTCATGAGTGCTGCGATGCTGGGGTGCATGGAGTGTCCCACAGGAGTGTGGGGGGCTCCCCAGTGCGTTCGGCAGCAGACCTGGAAGTGGACCAGAAGCACTTCCGGTCCACTGGGGAGCACACTGGGCCCTCGCCCACCCCCATGCCCTCCTGGCTCAGTGACTGGTACCTCCTGGGTCTGGTGGGGGCACCCGGGATCCCCCTGTAGCCAATCGCTGAGCTGAGGGGATGTGGGGGGTCCCCACTGCATGTTTCCCAGTGGACCTGGAAGTGGGCTGGAAGTACTTCTGGTCCACGTCTGGGTTCACTGCCGAGCACGTGGGAGGCCCCCCGTGCTCCTATGGGACGCTCCATCCACCCCAGCATCACAGCATTCACAGGCCATGCTTGGTACCTTGAGGTATGTAGAAAAAACATTAAAGGCGGTGTCTATGGCCGAGTTGCTGATTCTCTGAATCAGCATCAAATCTTCAGATTTGGATTCAGGCAAATTGAATCAGGGACAGTGATCTGAATCAACAAGTAGAATCACTGTCCCTGATTTGGGCTGAATCCAAATCGAATATGGCCTGTTTCACACACCCATACAGGATAGCACATGGATAACATTGGCCAGGAGGGGAATATGGCCAGGGTAGATAGGAAATATGTTCATTCGTTCACCACTTGCAGTGGTTCACCAATGACAATCCGTCAGGATTTAGATCAGTCCCTCAGTGTGGGTCTAGAATCATAGAAAATTAGGGTTGGAAGGGACCTCAGGAGATCATTTAGTCCAACCACCTGCTCAAAGCAGGATCATCGCAGCCAAGGCTTTGTCTATCTGGGTCTTAAAAACCTCCAAGGATGGAGATTCCACCATCTCTCTGGGTAACCTGTTCCAGTGTTTTACTACCCTCCTAGTAAGAGAGTTTTTCCTAATATCCAACCTAAACTTCCTTTTCTGCAACTTGAGTCCATTGTTCATTGTTCTGTCATCTGTCACCACTGAAAAGAGTCTAGCTCCATCCTCTTTTGAACCCCCCACCCCCTCCCCCCTTTCAGGTAGTCGAAGGCTGCCATTAAATTCCCTCTCAGACTTCTCTTCTCTAGATTAAATAAGACCAGTTCCCTCAGCTTCTCCTCATAAGTCATGTGCTCCAGGCCCCTAAACATTTCCGATGCCCTCTACTGGACTGTCTCCAATTTGTCCGCATCCTTTCTGTAGTGGAGGGCCCAAAACTGGACACAGTACTTCAGATGTGGCCTCACCAGTGCAGAATAGAGGGAAATAATCACTTCCCTAGATCTGCTGGCAACACTCCTACCAATGCAGCCCAGCATGCCGTTAACCTTCTTGGCAACAAGGGCACGCTGCCTGTTATTCAGATTATTGTCCACTGTAACCCCCAGGTCCTTTTCTGCAGACCTGCTGCCTAACCAGCCAGTTCCCAGCCTGTACCACTGCATGGGATTGTTCTGTCCTAAGTGCGGGACTTTGCACTTGTCCTGATTGATCCCCTTGAGATTTCTTTTGGTCCAGTTGTCCAATTTGTCTAGGTCTCTCTGAATCCTAGCCCTACCCTCCAGCGTATCTACTATTCCCCCCAACTTGGTTTCATCTGCAAACATGCTGAGAGTGCACTCCATCCCATCTTCCAGATCATAGATGAAGATATTGAACAAAACCAGCTCCAGGACCGACTCCTGGGGCACTCCACTTCATACGCTGCCAACTAGACATCAAGCCATTTACTACTGCTGTCTGAGCCCGATGATGCAGCCAGTTTTCTAT